GGTATACCTAACATAAATTGTATCAAGTAAAAAATACTTTCTAAGACAATTTGCACGTCTAGGAAGCTAACCTTTTTAAACCAGCCTTATTGTGGTATAGATTGATGTATTGACTGCAATATTGTGAAGTGGTCTGCACAAAATGGCAAAGATGAAGAACATTCCTACGTTTTTGTAATCCATGTACAGTGCCAGTAGATATAGGTACTCAAATCTATCAAAACTATTTGGATTTTCAACTTTATGTCCATACAGTAAAGTTGAAGGTGGATCAGACGAGTTCGATAGAAAATGATGGGTTGACCAGGTGTCTATGGTAAAAATATAGGTATGGGACTCATTACATAAATAGTGAAAAGTGGGTGTTACTTCTGTGTGCACCTCTGCCTACCCCTTCGGGAATAAAAGTCGTGATGTTATGTTATGTTATAGTCAGATGATGTGTAACGGAACAGGCTGTTTTTTAGTGTAGGAACAGGAGGGTTTTTATTCAGTAAGAGTCCGACACTCCCCCTTGCCTAATTCAAGGCGGGAGAAGTGATTCTGTGATTTTCCCCCTCAAAAAAGTTAGGAAAAATTGTAGTGGCTAACAATGACAGGTCCAAAGATCCAGCTTCGTTGATCACTTAATTATCAACAAAGCCGTGGATCATTTTTTTCAAACTCAAACTCAAAAGCATTTATTTCAATTAAACCATAATTTGGTACTTTTGAAACGTCAACAAATATGAGATATATAATAGTCTGTCAGTCTGTCCGTCAGTGAAGCTAGGCGCTCGTTCCAAAATGTCGATTCGAGTGGAGAAGAACGAGCAAGAAACTCCATTCGTTACTCTTTTAAAAAAGTCTGTTTTACATTGCTCTGATACATATTCCAATATTGTACACACATGTGAGAATAATGTAAAGACATACCTGAAGCAACATACAAATAACAGAACATACTAAAATAGAAAAAAAAAAACAAAACCAAGAGAAAACAAATATCTTAAGTCTGACATGGTCCTCACATATGTATACTGACAATCCATATAAAATAGTGCTTCTATACAAGAAAAAAATAAAAAATATACTCTTGTTTAAATAAAGAAAGAAATGCTCGATGCCACAAGAAAAATAGATTGCCTTCATCGGAATCAAAGTGTTAAATTACCTATTATCGTAATCTGAACTAGGTACTGACTACATTTGAGTATTGTCCAGTGGAGCCGAACCAACACGCTGCCAAGCATTCCTATCCTCAAGATAATCAATCACCCTGTAGTACGCTTGTTTACATAATTCGCGCTTAATATATGTTTTAAATTTACTTTCATTTAGATCTAGTATGCTATTTGGTATTTTATTATAGCATTTAATACCTAACCCCATAAAGGATTTCTGTACCTTGGACAGTCTGAATTGCAGTACAGCTAACTTATTCTTGCCTCTAGTATTAAGATTGTGTCTATCGCTTCTTTTTTCGAACAATTGCCTATTCTTTCTTACATACATTATATTTTCATATATGTATTGACAGGGCACCGTTAAGATGTTTATCGTTTTAAACAATTCTCTTAGCGATTCGCAACGGCGTAAGTTATATATTGCTCGGATAGCCCGCTTTTGAAGAATAAAAATTGATTCTATTTCTGCAGCTCGACCCCACAACAAAATGCCGTACGACATAATGCTGTGAAAGTAACTAAAATAGACAAGCCTTGCCGTATCTACGTCCGTGAGCTGTCTAATCTGTCTAACTGCAAAAGCAGCTGAGCTTAATCTCCCCGAAAGCGCCTTTATATGTGGGCCCCATTGTAGTCTATTGTCTAATGTAATGCCTAAAAATACCGTCTCGTCGACAAATTCTAACTTTTGGCCGTTTAAAACAACATCACAATCATTACTTCGGACGTTTGGTAAACTAAATTTAATACATTTTGTTTTTTTCTCATTAAGCGCTAGATTATTAATGGTGAACCAGTTTTGCACTCGAAGAATGGAGCTGTTTACGTCGTCAAGATTATTAGCACGTCGATCTATTTTAAAAATTAATGAGGTATCATCTGCAAAAAGCACCATTCTTGGTTCATTCTTGAATATAAATGGCAAATCATTTATATAGACTAAAAAGAGAAAGGGACCCAATATTGAACCCTGTGGAACGCCCATATTCATCGTAGAGCCCTGCGAGTTAATACCATTAACATGAACCTTTAATTGCCTATCTTCTAAATAAGACTTTATTAGACAGAGTGCGGTGTTTCTGATCCCGTAGTGATCTAATTTCAGCAAAAGTGTCTCGTGGTCAACGCAATCGAACGCTTTTGAGAGGTCACAAAAGACACCAATAGCATCTTGTGCTTCCTCCCAAGCACCAAATATTTCTTTCATTAAAGTGACACCGGCGTCAGTTGTACAACGACCTTTAGTAAAACCGTATTGTTGTTGGTGAAAGATAGAATGTTTATTAAAATGATGAAGCATCCGAGACAGCATTAACTTTTCAAATACTTTGCTGAGAACCGGCAAAACAGATACTGGCCTATAATTGTTTGGTTCTTTAGTGTCACCACTTTTAAATAATGGGACAACTTTACTATATTTCATTAGGTCAGGGAAAACACCGTCATCTATACTTTTATTGAAAATCACAGCCAAGTATGGCGCTATAGTTTGAATAAGTGATTTGCAAACTTTTACCGATAGTCCCCATAGATCTTCAGTTGATTTGATCTTGATCTCTTTAAAAACTTTTATTATTTCTAGAGGATTCGTATATCGAAAACTAAAGTCGTGCTGACACGATTGTATATGATTCTTAAGCAAAGTTACAGAGAGTGTTGCTGATGACTCTAAATCTTTGGTTGTTTTGATAGGAATGTTGGCAAAAAAATGTTCAAACTCCTGGGCTACATCTACGTTGGATGAAATCTGTCCCCTTTCAGTATTTAAACTTAATTCTGAATTTCTTAATCGTTTCCTACCAGTCTCGTTGTGTATAACTTTCCAAGTAGCTTTTATCTTATCATCAGCTGCTTTTATTTTATTACTAATATAAAGACGTTTCGCGGTTCTGCATACTATTCTAAAGGTTTTTGAATATGATGTTACATACTGATGAAATTGGAGGTTGGTGTTGTATGGTTTCATTCCATAAAGCTCAAAAAGTTTGTCCCTACTCTAAACTTTTCTCATTAGTTATCCGAAACATCCGAAACTGCTTTTTCTTGTGAAGGCACAGACCGAATCGAAGACACAAGACTTGTAATTTAACTCTAAACTAAAACAATTACTTCTATACTAATATCACAGTAAAGTCAAAGCTTATTTTCTTTCAAACTTCATATGAAACCGCAATACACAGGACACGCTAAAGTCCCAAGTAAAGTGCGCCATAGTAATTACGTAGCCTTACCAACATTTTCATTAGCTCATGTTAACAAACATTGTTATTTCAGAAATTTTAATTAAATCCACGAAATTAATTAACCTACATACTTATACCGGAGTGTTTCTACTTTTTGGTCCAAAAAAATCCCGACAAATTCAAGGAAAGGGTACATTTTGGCCCCGGTCCTGTATTTTTTTTCAAAGAACCATAATTAATCATCACTCTAATGATATTCAAAAGTATTATTTTGTTATTTTTTTGACAAAATTAAGGAAGTTTAAGAACAATGTTTAGCAACTGACATTTCATTTGTATTCATTTTTCCCGTGAAGTTTTAAATTAAAAATTATAAGTGTTTGTCGGGTGGCAACATTGTGGAATAATTTTAAATTAAGACCGTTGTGACGTCATTATGTTCGTAGCGTTTGCAGTGACGGTGTTGCTCGGTGAAAAATATCAGAAATATATTTTACAAAAGCTTGTAAAATGTCAGTGCTGTAGCGTAAAAGGTCACAATAATTCCTATTTTAATAACTACGTTCCTTTGACGAAAATTATATTTAGATTAAAATTATGAACGATATAACTTCTGATTTATAATGAATGCTGAATAAAATACGTTTTGAACTAAAGCCGCTTATTAAGACTTAGTAAACTATTTACGAAATGTAATGAAAATGTAACAAGTTCAGATTAACACCGTAGCTAATAAATAATATTTCTCAGTTCCCATTTTCATATACTTATTATAATTCCAACTATTAAAGAAATATTTTCGCCGTAAGCTCATTAGCTTGGAGTTCAGCTTTTAAATAATAATATCATGCCTAAATAGTTGCAGACACGCCATTCCATAAACAGCTTTAATTATAATTTACTGGGTTTACTAACGCTACCCAATACAAACAGAGTCCTGCAGAGGCGTAAGAAAGAGACAAAAGTATATTTAACGCTAAAGAGTAGAAGAGACAACATGTATGCACATGTCACAGAGTAATCTTATAAATAGTGTAGGCAAATATTTTAATTGTGATCGCTAGTTCTGATAGCTACTGTAGCGCCGATTTCTATGTTAAAATAATAATAAAAACATGTATTTCAAAAGCTTTTTGTTTCATTGTTGATACTGAAAGTTTATTTCTTTTATACAACACAGTCAAAGATATTGTGGTTCTACACAATGAACGGCTCAGTTCACAAAGAAACAATAATATGAAAGCATCAGAGAAGCCTAATATTTACAACGCAAAATATAACCTCTAAAACATGATCACGTAACAAGATTGATGTAGCCTTATAATTCACTCCTCTATGTCACTTCAAAACGAGAATAAACGGCCACATATTAATTTTCTAACGTTGTCATAATTCTACATTACACTCGCCATTAGATTTTGACTCTAAACACCAAATTAATGCCACCTTCGAGCACCATTAGTCGCCATAGCTTCTTCCAAAACATTTAATTAGCATGCATCATTAAGCGATTCGGAAAAAAAACCTTAAAATTGTCACATCTGTTGGTCTATTGTTTACTCTGTGGGCGCAGGGCGGGAAAATATTTTCAGCCAGTGCCCTGCCAGGCTTCGCGCCTTGCGGACGTCGGGACGCGTACTTATTCTTTCGAAATTCGAACGTCGTGAATGACATTTCGTGTTTTTAAATAAAAAAAATAACGATCAATTTTTTTTTCTCTGGTTTCTAAATAGTTTGATTTATTAATGTTTTTTTTTTAATATAAAGTCGTATAAGTTTTTGTTTAATATGTGTGGACATTAGTGAAATTGGATTTTATGGCTAATATTAATGGTAAGTGCGTGTTTTATTATGGTCATATTAGTATAGTGTAACACAAATTATGTCTTTATGTCTGGGTGTGATATGAGAGTAAATCATTGTGACATTTTGAGATATTAACTTATCTTTGTTACGTCAAACCTTTGTAATTTTTATGGCACTGTTTAATGTCGCGAAAATATAAAATAATGATATATTTTAATTATATTATTATTTTAATTAATTGAGTCAACATAATTTCCTTACATCTATTAAATGTTTCTATCAATTCTTCTGTGCACATTACCATTATGAAAAGTAACATTTGTAGACTAGGTATAATATATTAACAAAAAAAACACAATTGTCAATTTTTTTTTCTTGATAGATTATAGTCTACGAAATGTTAAATTTAACATTACATCAATTTAAACTGTCAAACACCAAGCGGTCACCGGTGACTGCAACTTATTGTTCTATAATTGTGTCTACAAAACCGGTACTCGACGAGTTAAAATGACATAAATAGAAAGATCAATTTAGATTAAATACCTCCAAAATTCGAATTGACCTATCTATCTATAGTATTCTATATCAAAATTGAAGAGAATAGCAAACTAAATATTATTTGTAATAATTAATATCTCTAAACTAATTACAAGGGATCTAAGACCACTAGGCTTGAAATATTCCATTTGCAAATAGCCCTGCCTACCCTCTTAATTATATTATGTCTTCGATATTTCTGATATTCAAATAAGATGAATACACTTGGATATATAAATTTAGTTTTAAATATAACTAGTCTCTGTTATAGGGTTTGCCCGCGTTCTCGAGGTCATTAAGAGCCTATGTATATTTCCAGAATATAATTTATCTCTGTGTTACGTTTTATCCAGGTCTGCTTAGTAGTTTTTGTATGTCAGAGTAACAAACGTCTATACACATGCTTACAAAAATTCGCTTTTACAATATTTGTCAGATGGAACAGTAGATGATACCTATAGTTATTATTAAATAAATTATTATTATTTTCGGCTTACTGCTACCAGTAGCAGCGCGACAGTCGCCGCGTCGCGGGTCGCGAAATGCTGCTCATGAATATTATGAGCCTCTAGCATGGCTTGAAACTAGTCGAGTTCCTCGTCAAATTATTACGTGAGTAAGCCGAAAACATAATAATTTATTTAGTATGTCTCACGAAAGTTACAATACAAATGTAGTTATTATTATTTTGAATATATTACAGTTTTTTGTTTGCTTGTTACTGTAATGAGCAAAAATTGCTAGACGGATTTAAATAGAATTTGTGTACAGACACATCATGAAAAAGATTGTCAAGTCTTTACTGTTTCAGCTAGGTACCGTATCGAAATACGTACAAATAAACTAGTTTTATTAGAACAAGAAAATACTTAAGATAAATATCAATCATAAAGGTTTTACATAGAATAATGTATTATTTATTTAAACGTTTGTCAATAAATGTAATTTTTAAGTGATACCAATACTTAGGTACTCTCAAATTTTCAATACAAGTTTAGTTCACAAGTATGATAAGAGATGGCGTTAGTTGCTACTTTGATGGTTGTAATACGATCAAGCATAATTATATGTTTTGCTTTGATGTAATTTATAATAGTTATTTATTTAGAACCCTTGCAGGTTAATGTTGAATAGTGATCAGGTGTATCAATCATTGGGATCACAGAACACATATTGGGAGACAAAATATTGAATTTAATAAGAAAGAGGTCACGGAATATAGAATACATATGTTTTAAGTTAATTGATTAAATTCTTATAAATATTAATAAAATTGCTTCTGAAAAGAGGATATGGTTATTACCTATTTCCAGAAACTCGACATTTATATTTGTATTGGGAAAATACAATGGGGTTTTCCGTTATCATAACACCATACCCATTTATATTTTTGGACCTCTTTGAACACCCACTTTTCGCTGATTATATAGGAGAGTTTTATGAGGAAGCAAATTGGAAGTCTTACACTAAAAAAACACGTTCGAGTCGAGAATTTTCTCCTTTTTTGAAGTCGGGTAAAAGTATCATTTTATTGTACACGTATATGGAATGGTTATGGGGGCCTTTGTTCAGCAGTGGACGTGCAATACATCCATACATGCATAACTTCACGACTGTCTCCCATGGGGATAGGCAAAGACTATCAAATATCAATTTCAACGATTATTTCATACCTCTTTCGCTTCATCAACCGTCATTAGTCTTTTCATGCATGCTCGTCGGTTAAGGGTACTTTTAACTTGGCCCTTCTATAATATATCGCCAATCTAGTGGGTATTTATGTCAGCAGTGGACATCTTAAGGCTGATATGATAATGATGATGTTGGAGTGGATTTGAATAAATAGTTTTTACTAGCTGTGCCCGTGACTTCGTCAGCGTGGAATAGTGGTTCATAACTCCTCCGGTCCTCCCCATAGGTAATAACATGATAATATGTAGCCTATATGTTGAACCGACCTGTTAGTAATATTTATGCAAAGTTTTAAGTAAATCCATGCAGTATTTTTAGAGTTTTTTTTAAGGGAGGAAAATCGTCGAATGACTGCTCCCGCCTGTGTGAGGCGGGAGAGAGTGTCAGACTCTTACTGACTAAAAACCACCCCGTTCCTTCTCCTGTACGTTAAGCCGGAGCCCCAGTTACTCGTTAGGTTCTCCGGGACATTTTTTGAGTTAAGCCCGAATATATGTACATACAGACAAACGGACAAAAATTCGATATCGGTTTTAGGTCACGCCAAAAGCATTCTTTTAAAAAATTCAATCTACAGTTTTCACTTTCTTACGATTTTATTGTAAGTATGTATAGATATTAATAATTTCAATAAGACAAGTTCATGAATCATGAATAGGGCTGGGCAATCGATTCAAAGACTCGATTACAGCTATCGATTTCAACAAAACCTTAATTCTAAGTTTGATATAATTATTGGTGTCACAAATAAGGTCAAAACGCTAAGTAATTATAGGTCTTAATAACCGTGTTGCCTATAATTGTTCTGTCTGTATTTGTGTAGTGATAAATGACTTGACAACATTAAACGAGGTTTTGATTTAACAATCTGACATGAGCATATTTCTATTTCAAGTAAATGTAGTGCCGTATATAGGGTACCATTTTTAATACGTTCTAAAACAATAAAAAACAGTAATATTAGGACAAATGCTAAGTTTTTTTTTGATGGGATTAGCTGGTAAGCGAGCTGACGGATCACCTGATAGTAAGCAATAGGCGCCGCACCTGATACACCAGAGGCGGCACCACGGAATTTGAAAATTATTGGGGATTCGGGGATTGTAGAGACTGTGGAGGGGGTTAATTGGGCCTCTGGTAACCTCACTAACACGACGAAACACAGTATAAGCGTTGTTTCACGTCGGTTTTCTGCACACTGCTAAGTGTAGAAGAGCCATGTTTCAACACGAATAGGCCGGCTTAACCGGTGTCATATCAATGCCTCACACAAACTCGACGTTAAGTCACGCTTACATTGTGTTTCGCTGTATAAGTGAGATTACTGGAGGTCCAATCCTCCCCCTATCTCCATAAACCTCGACAACGCACTTGTAACTCCTCCGGTGTTGCGGGTTTCCAAGGCATCGATTGCCTATAATCAAAAGATCCGTCTGCTCGCTTGACGCGTGTTCCATAAAAATGGACCAAAAAGGTTCTATATTCAAGCCTATAACATGAGTTCGTATCTATATGAACAATGTGACCTCGAGAGGTCAAATGCTATTACTGACCTAGGGTGACGTCATTACGTGCCCCTGTGGCCAATTACCGTACAACATTGTACAAACTTTCAAGTGTAGGTAGATAATTTGATTGTTCCCCATTGTAGGCTAATTGCTTTTAGATAATACTAGGGACCGGCCCCTGGTTTGTATATCATCTATACGTTGACATTCTTGAATAATTTTATTGGTACCTTGGTATTTTGTTTTCTTTTTAAATCTTGGTTTAAATGTCCTAGATCAGTTTGTAACAGCCGATGTAGTAGGTATGTCTTCTTCTACTCCGGCTCCTCGCTATCAAATGTCATTGCATCACTGAGTACTTTTTAAACTCGTCTGTAAAAAGTGAAGATCGTGGTCCAGCTGTCCACTGCCTTATTTATATTTGATGGGGCGACGTTTGACCAATATCTCGCCTGGTGATAAGCGATGATGCGGTCTACGATGGAGCACGTCGGCCCATAAGCAACCTATTGAAGACACCCAGGTTATACACCCCTTCGAGAAATACAGACTTTGGCAAAGACTTCCACTCCTTAGCAATACGCACAAGGAAGCTTCAACTATGCAAGTAAGGAAATAAATAATTACTTAACTCGTCGAGTACCGTCATTATAGACACAATTATAGAACAATAGCTTGCGGTCACCGGTGACCGCTTGGTGTTTGACAGTTTAATACAGAAACAGTCGCTATTACAACACTAAATTATATGGTTTTTAACAAAGTCACATTTTCTGCAACCATTACCTAGTCGGTTCAATTGCCAACCAATGTTACTGTCGCTACTCTCATAGTAAGTAGCTGTGCTGACTGTACATTATGAAGGTGTAGAAAGGTAGGCGTATTCTAAAACTAGCTGTTGCCCGCGACTTCGTATGAATTTTAGAACATAACTCTTTTTCCTATCACAAACAGATATCAATTTTATTTATCTGTGTAATAGTAATATAGATAAGATTAATAGTACAAAACCTTTATTAAGTTAAGTAATAGAGATATGATTTGTGAATTTGTGAACGAATTAAATAGCTTCACCCAATAATTGCTTAGTCATGTGTCACCAAATTCAGATATTAACGCGTTCAGTCAAACGAGCAAAGGAAATTAAACTCTTTAGCTACATCAATTTTAGGTTGGTATTCGGTATAGTTATAGATAAGTACCTATTTTATTTAATAAGGCTTTAGGTTCACTGCACGTCAGCATCATCTAAAAGAATATAGGACAAATTACCATAATGATAATTAT